CATAGTTTGTAATAATTTAATGCATGATTTACATTCTCAACACTGCTTACAATCGCATCCTTGATCACTCTATCCTTCTTTTTAAATGAAAATATAAAGCTATCTTTAGTTTTACCCCATCCATTAGTAGATTTCCATCTCAAAGGATTATACCCTCCCAGTATTTCCCTGGTTTCTTTTACTTTAATAAAGGTGACGGTAATCGGTTTATCATCGCATAAATCGTGAAATGATTTTGGATTAAATCCATCTTGACTCCCTCTCAATAGTAATTCAAATTTGTATGGGAGATATAATTCTCTTAAATGAGAGAATTTAATATTAATGTCCACTTTATCAATCCATCTTGAAATCATTGAAACAATATTTATATTAATGATTTTTGAGTCAATGATGTTATTGATTTTGATGCTCCTGGGGAATAAAATGTCGTCGATTGGTTCATTATCAGGATCCAAATAAGAATTTAACAAGTTTTCATAAAGTTGATGCTTTAACAACTTTTGAAATGGTCGAACCTTTTGTGTGAATTCTTTAGATGATAAACTAAAAAATCTGATCAAAGGTAAGCATCGTTGTAAAGTATTCTCCATCATTTTGAAATCATCATCCGTCCAAGTTGCGGGATCTGAGACGAGCGTTGGATTTCGTGCTTGTCCCCACCTTAATACATGTCCCCAAATTTCAACCTCCTTCATATGTAAATCATCTCTCTTAATGATTGATAGTAATGATTTTTCTGGAAGCAAAGAGAAATCAAGTGATTGGAATATTTTTTCGGGTGATTTAACCATTAAATCCGTACAAAATTGTTGAAGAACCAATAAATTAGTTGATTGAAAACTTGTTTTATGAGTGAGTTCAAAATGATGTTCCATCCATTTCGATTCATTTTCAATTAAATACTTTTGTAAATAATCAACAAGTTCTTGAAGTAGAAGATGATCAGCGGCTTTCAAGACCTTAAGGATTCCTGAAGCGTCTAATTCACTTGACGATAATATACCTCCATAGATATACCTATATTACAAAAAAAAAATTAAATCAATAAAAAAAAATAAAAATATCAAGATATAAAATATTTTATTTGAATTAAACTCACTTCAAAATAACTTGAAAGGTATCTGGTGATATATTTGGCAACTTACAATGAGCCAAGACATCATCAGCATTTTTTTGGTTTGAAGTCAAAGCCCGTCGCAAATACGGGGAACGGTAGCATAAGATATTCATGTGCGCGCGGAATATTTTTATATCAGGATCTTCACCAACTTCAATCGTAACATCGTAAAATTCATCATCTTCCAACAACTTGATATAGCTTTGGCTTAATTTTATTAAAAATTGGTCATGCATTTCAATTTGTTTGAAGAATGGGAGAATGAAAAAAAAAAAATAATTTATGGATTTTTTTTTTCAACAACCATATTTAACCTAAAAATTGACGTAAATCTTTCCAAATTAAAAAAAATCCACGTTTGTTATGACCATCTATATTTTTGCAACAAGTAGATATATGTAAAAAATAATATTTTATTATAATTTAATATAAAAGCTTCATTTATAATCCAAAGCAAATACTACTATATAGTGAATACAAAGAGACAAGTAATTTACACGTAAAATAATTTTTTACGCGTAGGCTTACATAATGCAATTCGACAATCTACAATATCAAATACTTTAAAGCGCGTTTATCTTTCTTACTTTCATCAATTATTTGGAAAAAAATGACATATTGACGGCAATAAACAAGTATACGATAGGTAGTATACGATTTAGGAAAATATTTCAAGCCGTATTAAAAGAAAGCACAGAGTTCTATACGCGTCATGAAATCTCTTGTAATTTCTATATGGGGATATATAAAATATGTGCAGCTGGCACACATGCCATTACATGTTACTTTACCATGGTTATATTAAGAGACTATCTTAATTAATTTCTTTTACGACTCCTCACAGCATAAATTTTCAATTTGCCACGTAACTTTTATAAATTGCAAACGTCAGAATAAATACTTTACTCGCATCATTAGGTTTACACTCTGCTATAATTCGTATGTCAGGCTGATTCTAACGATAGTAACATTCGTAATAATGGCCATTAGCAATAAAGAAATCGATAATACTTAATCACGTAGAAATCGCTTTCACTTCATGTATTCTTGTTCAGGATGCCGGTGGTAATATAAAAAAAAAATTCTTAACAAGTTCTACTATTATTTTTAGTGACTCTTATTATTTTATTTGATATATTTGAGAAGCTCTATCTTATTCTTTGGTTAATATAATCAAATGTTACATCTGCAATATTGCATGTATATGCGATAAACGAAACATCCTTTTTTCGAAACCAATATCTAAGAAATGAACAGCTGTAAAAAAGAATAAAATAAAAATAAAATGTAAAATTTCAAACTACCTAAATTTATATCCCAAGTTAATTTTACTAAGTAAAACATTAAATAACAAATAATAAATGATCAATTACTTAATGTTTGATTTTAGAATATTAACCAACAAGAGAAATGATCTTCAAGAGGAGATTGTTGAAATAGAAAAAAAGATTAAGATCTCTAAGATGATTTTGATTTAATCAAAAAGATCAAATATAATCATTGAATCCACTCTGATAACTCAGATCATGTGATATTCCATAATTTCTCTTTAAAGAAATTTTATAGACAAAAGTAATACTCAACAGACAGACAACCATTCTCGGGATTAAATAACAAAATAATATCGACGTTACAGTAAATTGTTTGTAAATTATGACTATTTTTGAATATTTGTATGCGAAATTATGTCAATCCACCTGCTATACACAAGACATGTCGCAATTGGGATAAATCGATTGAACCTAATATAGTTACTCTCCTATCAAGAAACCAATGATTTTATAAAAATTGGTTGCATAAATTGCATATTGAGCATCGGAATTTCAATTTTGCCAATGATGGTTAACCTATTTGACAATTTTGTTCATAAATCCGGTTTGAGGACTGTGGCTCTTTTTTTTTTTTTTTTTCCCTCCATAATCAATTCTTTTATAAAAAATTATCATAAAATAACACTTCCTATTTCCTATCCTATCATAATTATTCCCTTTTTTTTTAAATAGAAAGATGGCTAATCTATTTCGAGGACCCGAACGTTCATCATATAAAGAATTTACCCCATTTGCATATTTCTCTTACCAATTAGGACGAGAAACTTTTCAACAAGGTTACCTTGGTATTACAAGCAATGTGTCAATCGTTGGTTTGTTGAACCTTAGATTTCCTGCACAACAACCTTTATATGCAAAACAAATACAGATTCATTTTTTAGGAACTGAATGTGTTCAAATACAAGGAACAGGTCCAAAGGTTTTAGTTTATGATACAAATCCAATCTGTACGGTGACCATCGAATTATGGAAAAGTCCGGATGATAAATATCATCAAATCCATGATATGGATTTACCTTTTGAAATTCCACTTCCGATTGACATACCTTCAAGTATGTCCATTGATAAAGGACGTGGGAAAATTGAATATTGCCTTCAAGCTATCATATCAAAGAGATCTAATTTTCGAGGCTCGGAAAAGATCATACAATGTGCTTACGATGTCAATCGTTACATTTTACCACCTTTACCTGAACCTAGACAATGGATAAAGGAAGATCCAATGAAACAAGGAATTAAATATGAAATCTCTTTAAACAATAATGTTTTTGGACCTCGTTGTCCAATTGTAGTAAGAATGAAGTTAACGTTCTATGATCCTCGTGTTTCCCTGGAAAACATAGTAATAGGCTTGAGAGAATATACTGTCATTGCAGATCAATCCGAATTTGATATTAAAAAGAAGAGTAAATATAAGTTGAAAACGATATTAAAAGGTAGACAGATATCAATGACATCAGAATCACAATACAGTGAATGTACAACGGATATCCAATTTACAATACCCGAAGACTGTGTTGGTAAACTGACTTGGTCACATGAAAGTTTTAATATCGCGGTTTTTCACAAGCTAAAGATCAAAGTTAAGTTCGGTCTGTTTAGCAAATATAATTTTAATTTAGATGTTCCAGTAAAAATTGTAAATATGTTAAGTGTTGAAGAAGAAGAATATTTGGCTGTTGAAGTTTTACGCCAACAAGAAATTTCAGTTTATTCGGATGCTCCTCCTCCCGCTTATGAACCAGATCGGTTTACTAACCCGGTTTCTCTTCCCCTTTATTCATCGTAAACCAAACATTATTTTTAGTGGTATAGTTAGTACAATTTCATTTTTTTTTTTAAAAAAAAAAAAATAATAATAATTGGAGTATTGTTTTTAAGCAAATTCATCTTTCTTATGAACCATTACTCAACGCGAACAAAGGTGTTTAATAAGAAGCATCAATTAATCGAAATCAAGTTCTTAAGTAATATAACAAATAAAATATAACAAATAGAACACAATATATCTAAAAAAAAAGGAGAGGAAAAAAATAGATTAGGTTAGGTTAATTATAATCGATGTTGGAAATCCATTACATTGTCTAAAAGAAATTTTTCATTGACACGGTATATATAATTTCTTAATTATTCGAATGATATCAGAAGATAAATCTAGATTTTACGAATAATAACTATAAAAGTTTATAAAGTATATAACGCTCTAAATCTGTATTTAATGATTCTCGAACGATGAGACTGTACAATCATGCTCCAATTAAAAATAAATTATCGCAATAATTCTAGTTGGAACACTGTGAGCTGTCGAGACTTCTATCAATAACTCTTTGCAAAATGTCGTTATCAATTTCAAGAGTTAAACATGAAATAGCTTCGATTCTTTAACACAGAATCCGACAATCTGCGGTTGTTACACAAACGAGTTAAAATAATTAAAAAAAATATATATATATTTTTAAAAAGATCAAATGAAAAAAAGATGAAAATATAGTATAGTAAAAAAAAAGAGTAAATGCTATCGCTAACTTAATTTTCAATAATTCTACATGTTAAAGAAGGAGGATTATATCATTGATACCCCTTGAAATAAAAATATTATTTTCTTTCAAAAAGTAATTTCTCTGTTCCAAAGTAACATGTTCATTTCCGTAGGTATCGGCCAAGTGATTATACAAAAAATTGGAACCTTTAAGACATCTCTCATCAACTATATTAACGGAGAATTCGAAATGCTTGATACTTTTATTGGCCACTTTTCGAGCCAAATCAAACCCTTTAAGAAATGATTTTAATTTTTCATTCTCCTTACTATCAAGAAGCTGATACTTCATGTCAAAAATCACTTTTGGATGCAAATCACTATAATTTTCATTTATAACGGAAACAAAATTTTCCAATTTTTCTAATCCTTCTCTTGTTTCTAATATCATTAATATTGCTTTAGCAATTGCACAGACAAACCAGTAGCAATAACTAAACATGCCTACCTCCTGAAAATGCCCTCGCTGCAGTCATTCCAGCAAGAATACTAGTTCCTAATGCTTCCATACCTATCACAACAATCGCGAGTGGCATTAAAGCAATACCAGCAACAGCAACACTAGCAACGATAGCAGAAATGGCAGTGCCTGCTAACGCACGCTTTGCTATAATAAAAGGTGATAAGCGTATGAACCCATCCTCTTTTAAAGAATCAAAAATGAACCCTTTATAAATGTTTTCAACGGGAATAGTTTCCATTCTAAAAAGGTTTTACTGTCGAAATTACTTTTTTTTCTCTGAAAGTTATTTTTGATTTTACGTTTATTTATATCTGCTAATCGCAAAAGAAATTTAATAATAGTCTTACCACATGGGAATGCTTCAAGTCATGAGATTATAGTAAACAATCTGATCCGAATGTTCATGGGAAAATTTATTGTTATAACTTTAGCCCCATTTCTCTACGACAAACACATTTTCTTACAAACATATTTTTTTTTGCTTAGTAAGGTGAACGGTTATTTGCAAAAAAAAAAAAAAAAAAGTCGAATTATATAGTATGACAAAATCAAATTTTTAATAACTTTGCTGCGCCTTATCAATACTTCTTATCGTAATTCATTTCATTGTAAAAAAATAGTAGTATTTATATTAAGATTTAATTTACATTCCTAACGTTCTCATTAAATAGAAACACTTAAAACAAATAATTTGATAATAACATCAAATTGCTTAAAAGATAAGAATTACTCTTTGAAAATCAAGGATTATTCAAATTCAAGATATAGCTTCCCGGTTTCGAAATAACATGATCATTTCCGTAGGTCTCGATCAAGTGGTTATGCAAAAAATTGGAACCTTCAAGAAAATTTTCATCATCTCCATAAGCCAAAAATTCGAAATTCCTAATTCTGTCTTGGGAAACTTGTCTAGCCAAGTCAAACCCTTTAAAAAATGATTTTAATTTTTCATTCTCATTACTTACGAGAAGTGGTTGCTTCATGTCAAAAATCAATTCTGTATCACTAAATTCATAAATGGAAACAAAATTTTCCAATTCCGCCAATCCTTCAGGATTCGATTCCGATATCACTAGTATCGCTTGAGCAATTGCAGCCCCTCCAGTACTAGCAGCAAGAAATCCCCCAATACCTAAACCAGCTGCACCAACCGATTGTAAAGTCGCCACAAGGCTACCCGCAGCGACAGTTCCACCTTGTAATGACATCATCCATGCCGCAATAGATCCAGCAGCAATACCGGCTTCACCAAATCCTAATGCTGCTACTAACCCAGTAACCGCTAAAGGACCCAAAGCAGCACCGGCAACTATCGCCGCACCTGTTAACAAGTACTTTTTATTTCTACTAACAAAGCTTTCTTTACTTTGTCTCTTGCGTATGAACTCATCCTTCATGAGAGAATCAAGAATGATACTCTTAAAAATTTTTTCAACGGGAATATCAGATATCTCTACCATCTTACTATCAAGATTCTTACTTCAGAAATTTTTTTGAAATCGAACTATAGAGTTCTGGATTATTTTTATATTTGTTTTTACAAAATCGCCGATAAGGTCTTGTCCAGATATTAGTTTTATCATATATGGAAAAAATATATTATAAATTGTTGATTGTTGAAGTCCTCCAATCGAGCATATTCTAATAAATTTTTTCGATCGTAACGACAATAGTTTCAATGCATATTGTTGTCGGTTAGTTTAAAAGATCTACATGAATAATATTTGTTAATTTCTGTGATCAAATTTTGCGCGAAACTTTATATTTTCATGTGATAACTATTAGATTTTTCAGTAACATGCTTCCAGATTTATTTACAGAGATAATTGTGACGCGATGTGTATCTTCGTAATTGTACCAAAGAGGGTTACAATTGAACTCATTCTACAAATGGATAAAATTATGATGTAGAAATTTCGTTACAACAAGTTATCACTTTCGGCAACAGTGGCAGTAACAAGTAGATAAAAGTCTGATTCATCAATACCGTATATTATTATCCAAATTTCTGCGGACAAAATTCCATGAATTAGCCAATTATGTAAGTAAGATAGAGTAGGAATTTTTAATAATGATCTAAAAATTATTTAATTAATGTCACATGAAATACAAGTAAATAATAAAAATAAATTAAGATTATCCTGAGCTCTTTCATAAATATATTTATAGAACGTGTCTTTTTAAAAAAATCAATTATTTAGCTGCTTCGTTTCTTAAACATATATGAAGTATATTAGGCACCTTGTGGATTCAGAAACAATTCGAGATTTCTGACCTACTTAGCTAATGTTCTCTCACATATATTTTAAGTATTTGAATCTTTGATTAGAAAATAAAAAAAAAAAGCTCGTTCTTCTAAACCCTCAAGTTAAATGAATTTAATTTGTTCCTTGAACCTGCCTTTTTCATTGTAGGTTCTCCGAAATGAAAAATATTAAGTTGAAACCCGTGTATCAGTGAATTTTCTAATTTTCTTGGTTTTTCTTCTTTTTTTTTTTTTTTGTATCTCAATATAGATACGAGTAAGATGACGGAGCTTATTTCATTTTTATTGTCTAGAACCAAATCTAGCATCTAAAAAATAATCGAATATAAACTACGATTTTTCCGACGTACTGCCATGATCTTAGAATTCTGATATATATATATATAATGACTAGCTTTTAGTCGAGCTAACGAAATTATTTAAATAATCAATCCATCTCTTTATAGGTAGAGAACTAGATACATTAGCCTGCTTTCCATAAAAGGCAATTCCAATTTTTTTTCTTTTCTAGTATTTGATCCAATCCAGTATTTATCAATTTCTTGTAATACGGTAATTCATTTACATTTTTATCCTTTCTTAATACCTTAAACTCCATAATTACTGCTGTTTCCTTAACTCGACATCCCTTCTGGTTCAATTTCATATCGAACCGTCATAACTCTGTTCGAGACTAATTTATACCCCGAAATCGAATGAAGAGTTGGACCCATCTCCGATTGATTATGTATCACCATAATTATATTGGAAAAAAAACTCCTCTTTACATCTTTATTTTTTTGTAAAGGAATAATATATATATATATATATGATAAATACCTACTACAGTTATTCTATCAAAAAAAAAAAAGAAAACGAAAAGTACCAAAACTTATTTCACGGCGACGTCTTTCCTCAGCTTGTTGATAGCAAATTGATATAAATTTGAAAATATGAAAATATTTCAGCTTATTCTAAGGATCCCTTCCTAATACGGACCTTGTAATAAAATAAAAATCAATTTCGAAATTATAATGGCAAGTTTATCTGATTCATTCTTAATGAAGGTTCAGAAAGCTAGAATTATTTAGGATGCAATCATACCCTATTGGAGCTGTCGCTGTTGTATACTTTTTCTGTGCAATTGTATTTGGTAACTTAATTTTAAATTATAATAAATAAGTCTAAATTAATACTTATATGGTAAGACTAATATCTGGTCATATAAATAATCGTAAAAATTGCAGAATTCTGTACATAATGTCAAATTCATCTGAAAATCCTGAAGAAATTTTTAAGGGACTCATTCTTGATTCTTTAGAAATGGATGGGTTCAAACTCTGGCCACAAATTTCAGAAATCCTTTCTAGAAGTTTTTCAAGTATTGCAGCCCTAATTCCTGTAGTTGGACTTGGAGTTGGCGTTGCCGGTAGGCGTTGTATTTTTTGAGGATGTACTTTTTATCTTTGCAATTTCTAAGCAATACTGATGGTATATGATATTAGATAGTTTTGCAGAATTGAAAGATTTTGTCTCCATTAAAAAAGAATATGAAGAAAATAGTTTGCGTACAAAAGTGATTTTTGACATGAAGTATCAGTTCCTTGATAGTAAAGATAATGAAAAATTAAAATCATTTCTTAGAGGGTTTGAATTGGCTCGACAAATGTTCAAAGACAGTATCAAGCATTTCGAATTCTTGTTTGACGTAAATGATAAAAAATTTCTTGAAGGTTCAAAATCTTTGCACAAACTTTTAACCGTTACCTACGGAAATGAACATGTTATTTTAGAACAGAGTAATTCCTTACTGAAAGAGAATAATATTTTTATTTCAAGGAATATCAATAATATTATCCTCCTTCTTTAACGCGTAGATATATTATCAAAGTTTTGTTTTATTTTATATTTGTATTTTGGATTATGAATGAATGTTTCAATTCTTCCGGTGATTTTTATATACCAATAAATACCAAGCATAGATTTTGATCAGTAATAACGATCATTCGATCAGTTTTTGCAAATCTTTGAGAGACGAAACAGTTATTTTGAGTACTGATTTTTCTTATAGAAATTTGTATGAAAAACTCGTGTAGATTCTAACTGGTTAGATCAAAAATGTTTAATAACATTATTGGATTTTAAAAAGGTGTTGTTATCACTTATCTCATTATTACATAATATGTTTCAAAGTTTCAAAGAACAAAAAAAAAAATGACAAAGAAAATTTCAGAGATTTAAAGAACTTTGCAAGCACAATTTCCAATAATAAGATTAAAGAAGACTATGAAATTTTTTAAAACGTACAGACAAACGATTATTCCAAATTTCAAGATATATATTTTAAACGTAAATAAATTCAGAAAATTATAAACTATCCAGTAATTTTCAACTAACCACCAAAACCAAGGTTTTCATAACAACTCAATTCTTTAAACTTCTAAATACGATCTATATGCAATAATATCTGACTAGCGAAATATCTATTTTCTTTTTTTTAGAGCAGGTATGATCGCAAAATATAATATGCGATTGGCTATTACTGTTTCATTGAATATGATTTCGCATGAAAATCGCTTTCGATATTTGTAGTTGCCAGGCTAGTATGACAAATTGTCAAGACGCCAGGCTGGCCTAATAATACGAGCTGGAAATCCTTAAACAGCTCAACGTTCCACGCTCGCCTTATTATACTTTGTATACATACACCCCGAAATCCTTCCTTTAATCCCTTCGCGATATTTTCGCCTTCGCCGTTTTAACTTTTAAAATTTCGTATTTGTAATTTCGTATATTTTTAATTTCCGATTTTCTTATTTTATTATTCAATTTTTCGTAATTGTGATAGTGTAGAGCGCCGACGTTGATTAATTTGATATGTTGTTATTAAATAAAAATTTGTCACAATTACTTCATTTTTACTCAATAATATCCAATAAAACCTTCTGCTTACATTACAAAATTATTTATAAATAAATACATAAACGAAAGGACTGAATACAACACTACGCAACAATAACAAATATTTAGACGCAAAATAAGAATTGATCAGCGCCATTGGGACATTACTATAACTGAATCGTTTAATTAAGTTTTTATATGACCATGATGTTTTTATCATAAAGTGTTGCTCACTTGAATTAACGTCAACATCAAGAAAAGGTTGAGGAAATTTCCGACAAGTATAAAAGGTTCGAAGAAGACTTTTTACCGAAATCACAACGTTCGATAGTGATTCAAGTTACTTATTTTAAAGCAATATAATAAATATTCTGAATACTTCAAGAAATCTTTGAAACATACGTAAAGTCTGAGGAAAGAGCATCATCGCTTTGGTCTATTATATTTTTATTTATATCTTTATGATTTATGATATATGGAATAAAATAAAGATTCCTTAGAATTTGTGACTGAGGTGGGGTAGTTCTGACACTCGGCCTGGTTATGTTGACAAAACATTTAAGGCATTATAATATTATACCTAATTTAAAACCGATTTCTACGATTAAAAAGTTCATTTATTTAATGTATAGAAAACGGAAACCGTTAAAAGTTCAAAACTTTCCAATGAAATAACATGATGTTACATTACATGGGAGCGGACAGACGACCTTGCTTTTCCTCCGCCACGTTTCGGACAATAAGGTGAATTATTATTTAAATTTAACCCTCAACACGATTACAAGAATCCACCAATGCTAATTCAACCAAGATAATCGCAATAACTTGCCAACCGTTGATCGTAAAGACGCGTCGATTGGTAGTAAATTTGCATTTCTAGCATAAATATCTGTCTAGCTATCATATATTGTTTTTAACTTCTAACAAGCTTTTCATCTATCGATGCTAAAGTTATGAATTATCAACATTCGATGAGTCTCATCTTGACGAATCAATGAGTTATATTTCATATATTTAGGCAACAAATATTTGTGACTTTAAAAAAATATTTAAATTTTCGGCAAAAAAATGAGAAGTTTTAACATTTATAAATGTCGAGAAGTTTCATACACGTTGATGATTCACATTTAGTAAATGACGCGTCGAATGACGTTTTAAGATAGATGATTGGATATTTCGAAATGTTCCTGAGACGTGATTTTGTTAATTTGCTAATAACATTTTTATCCACCGATGCTAGAGATACGATTTAATCACCATTCGGTACATCGCGTCTAGACGAATCCAAGAGCTGTGTACATCTTTTTTTAGATCATTAGATAAAGAGTGTTGCGGTACTAAATGTACAAAGGTTTTAGGATTAGTTCGCTCATCATTTCCTATTTCGGCGGGACATTTGAGTATTACGGAACGCTCTCTTATTCCGAATAGTGATTGAACATACAGTATCTATTCTACAAAAATACTGAAATGCTGATAACCAAGTTCTTCAAGTAATGGTTTCTTCGATACCTATCATCTAGAGTATATAGTAAAGTATCGATCACGTAAAAATTTTTCTTTGGTAGAAGAAAAGGAGAAATCGAATTCAGAAAATTCAAAAAAAAGCGGAGGTCCGTGATTTCAACCAATCGGGCTAAAATCAACTTGTTAACCATTTTAACCGGTAAATTAACCATCGTTTACTGTAAAAGAAAATTTTTTTTTCCTTAACTTTGACTTTCATTTGCCGAATAACCGACAGCTTATAAATCTCTAAATGTCAATTTTTTTATCATAAAATATTTAAAATATTTGCTCACTTGAGTGATGGATGGACTTACGCAATGATTTCCTAACATTTCAACATGAAAATAAGGAGCTTTATAAAAAAAAAAATGAAATTGCTGAAAACTACGCGCCAACATGAAGAAAAGTTTTAAGGAATTTGTTTCCGAGAACCATAACATATTTGACAAGGGCTGATTTATTAATTTTATCCTTTTATGGTTTCGGTTTTGGTTTTGATCTGTTTGATGTTTGTCTTTTACTGTGACATTATCTCAATTTGTTATTTTTTTTTTTTTATTTTTTTTAAAAAAAAATATTGGTTTAAAATGAATATAATGAATTATCGTTATTTATTATTTTTGTTTTTTTTTTTGAATTTAATAAAATTTTTTTTTTTTTTAAAAAAAAAAATTAATTGCTTAAATTCCAAAAAATTAATACTTGTTTTTAAATAAATGCATATTTGATATTTTGATTGAATTATCATTCTATAAATTTATTCAAATGTAAAATTGATTGACGATATGGTTGATGATTTAAATTCAATTGACTCATTTAAATAATAATCATCTTAAAGGTTTTCTTCCATAACCTTAAATAAATAACAAATAAATGTAAGAATCTCTTGCACGCTAACAAAACAAACGTTATGTTTGTGCGTTGGCATATATTCTAAATTAATCTTGTGAAATTATAACATCATTAAATTCGGAATTTTGAATAAAATGATTTGTTGATTTCACGTATTTTAAAAAAAATTTTACCAAAAAATAAAATGAAATGCACATTGAATATATAATATATTAACAGCAAGTCACTTTATCAAATAAAATATGTTCCATAAAAATTTCCCATTGATTCTTTGTTCTTTATTCATTTAACTTTAACTACAAAGAATTCTCGAAAATACCAATAATAATTTACTCTAGTCATTTGTCCATTTGGGCTCTCGCTTTTCAACAAAAGCGCTCATTCCTTCCTTCTGATCATTCTATAATAACAGGTAAAACAGATTAAAAACGCGTCTATAAAAAACAAAAAAAAAAAAACCGTAATTATAAAAAAAAATGCTTCTTACCAATGAAAAAAGACTTTGGAATAATCTTCTTTCAAAGTGACATCCTTCCTTCAAGGATAATTCAAATGCTATAAACAAATTTTCGTCAGTTAAACGAACTTATTCATAAACGCAAGACTTCCTTTCCACCCTCTTACATTTTCACCCACCTGCATTAATTGATTCTTTAGCAGCCTGAATAGCCGGTTGGGAAAGATTTGCAATGTCTTGACCCAATTTTATGGCTTCATCAAGTACTTTATCGGAAGGCAATATTTTACTAACCAAACCCCACCTTTCAGCTTCTTGAGCACTAAAATTACGACCCGACAATACAATTTCCATCGCTTTAGATTTTCCTATTGCTCTAACTAATCGTTGGGTTCCTCCAGCGCCTTCCCATTCAGAATATGGAAAGTCACATGATTAAAAATTTTATTAATTACATTAAATTTGTAGAAAAATCATCATCACTTTACCTGGAATAACACCCAACTTGATTTCTGGTTGTCCGAATAATGCTTTTTCACCAGCATAAATTATATCACAACACATGGCCAATTCGCATCCACCGCCCAACTATAATGATTCAGCATAATAAATATTTGTGTTGAATATTCATCCTATGATCCAATATATATAAATATATACATACGGCAAAACCATTAACAGCAGCAATAGTTGGTTTTTTGATATCATTAATTTTTCCCCAATGTCCAAGAAAATCAGATTTATACACCTGAGCGAACGTTTGATCCGACATTTCTTTAATATCAGCTCCCGCTAAATAAAATGCATTAATAAATTATGCGTTGAGGGGGGAAAAAAAGAAAAATCCAAACTAAATATTTTACCTGCAAAAGCACGTTCACTGCCGGTAATAACAATAGCACCAATGTTGGAATCATCGTCATACTTTACTAAAGCATCATTAACTTCATGGAATAAATCGCTCGATAAAGCGTTTAACGCTTTTGGGCGATTTAACGTAATTAAACCAACTTTCCCATGCGATTCCGTTATAATATTATGATAATGTGGATTGCTATTCGCATGACCTTCTTTAATTTTTATATATTTTTACATTATATATATATAAATATTTTTTTTTAAAAAAAAAAAAAAGAAAATTTTTTTAAAGACGACTTCAAGCAAAGGGGGAAATTCCTCCATCATTTGAAAACTTACTTTGCAATGCACCGAATGTACTAAATTTAGCATTATTTGATGCTATCAATAATTTAGTAGCTTTACTTCCTCCTTTACTTAACGGGCGTAAAAACGTAAACATTTTCTTTGTTAAAAAAAAAATTAAGATGTAATTTATCTGTATTTATAATAAAATCCAGGGTCCTGTATTGCGAAGATCGTTGAACAGTAGACGAAGGACAAAAACCCAATTTAGGTTGGTTCTAAAAGAACAAATCATGTGAATCATTTGTATTGTCTACATCATTTATTAAAATGGTTGTGATTGAAACAAACAAGACAACGGTTTGCAACAAAGAGAAAAACAATGATATCAAAATACATAAAACAATATGGCGAGAGAAAAGGCCTGATACTCCATGAATCACTTAAATTTCTTCACACGTTTGTATATTATAATATATAATGGAATGGTATAAAGGGTTTAATATAATTACTCTGAAAATTTTCAAAAATAGACATGGTTGAATCGAGAAAACGGAACTTCTAAATTCTTGAATTAGCAAGTAGAGATTTCAAAGCGACTTTATCATATCCAAGAATTCTGAGGAAAAAAAAAAGTAAAACCTTTTTTTTAGTCAATATATCTTAACATGCGAATAAAAAAAAAAAATAAAATAAAAAAAAAAAATCATTTTAATCTTTCATACCTCATCTTCACGACGATTGCTCAAAATTCTTTCCAACAATTCTGCATTATGATCCTTTAATTGATGCGTATTTTTACAATTTCTTTGTATAATCAACTCGGGATACGTGCGAATATAAGTTACAACAAAAGATATTGTGGTCAAGTATAGAATAAATTTTGATGATAAATCTTTTTCTTTGATACGGATGTTGGTATTTATGTGCGCCATTTCTTGAAATTTTTTAAAGTTTGACTTTACAAGAAAGAAATTTTTCTTGAAATATGAAATTCTAGGGGAAAAGACAACTTATTAAATACTTGAGCTAATAAAAAAATCCTGGAATTTCCAAACGTGGCTACAAATGCCGTATGCATGATTTATCCATAACCGTTCATTACTCACATTAATACAAGCCTCTTTCAAAATGAAGATACCATATCACATGATGTACAAATATTTTGTCCAGTGCACGTGAGAGAAACCAATTAGAATATTACAACGAAAAAAAGCCTCATGTTAAGCAAATAATATATAAAACGGGAGAGGTTTTTGCATTATTACCAAATTAAGATGTGAAAACAATATCTTTATTGGGTAATCCGAACTTTTCTCGCAATTATATAATTTTAAATGACATTAGATTGTATTAGCAGAATGACATTTGTGGACTTAATATTCTTCAGAAAGATTATTGTTTTTTCTTTGTGTATTACTTGATTCAGAAAACGAATTAATTAAAAAAATAGTAGCACCAATTAGAAGAATACGCGTAAAAGAAATGCAACTTAAAGACATTTAATATAAATTCCATATCGATTAATTACTAAAGTTAGAAAAAGATTATTAAAAAGACCATCTCCATTATAAAAAAGATCGCATAAAGGAAATTGTTATAAGAATTGTAAAGATCCTAGCCATTTATCAGTTTATTGCTTATTCAAAAAACAAAGGTAATAAAAAAATTAAATTTATAAATTCGTTTTAAAAGAGAAATTAAATTTATATAATGTAAGAAATAATTCGATAATACTATAACTTACAACAGCCTGTGATATTCTAGTTAACAATTCGAAATGTAAAAAGAATGTATTTAAAAATGACAGAAATAATAATTTATGACAGATATTTGAAGCATATTTGGCAATTAGGCTAACTGTGATTATTTTTCTAGAAAAAAAAACTGATCTTACATTGTTTCTAATTATCTTGAATAATACCGCGAATAAATGTTCTAATATTGTTAATTTCTTCATTTACTGCGGATGAATTAAAAAAAGGTGCTCAACATTCCCGATCATTTTCTAAAATACAAACATCCTTCTTTAACAAAAGAACGAAAACATAAAATGTCAAATGAGTTATAACATAGCTGAATTTAAGTGACCGTTAATTGTTTAGCGTTGCGTAAGAAAAACTGGTGTGAGCGAATAGTAATTCAGCATTATTAAAAGGCGGGCCTCGAACCCTAACCCTGATTTACGTAATAAATTTGTTTTTTTTTGCCACATGATCTCGATAAAGAAAATTTCCTTTTTTATATGATTACGCCGCATCAACGTATTGTAGGTCTTCGACCGAAATAGTTACTCCATTCATATCCAATTATTATAGCACGAGACATCAAATGCTTCCAATTATATTATTAAAAAAAATCACGTCGGGTCCTTTTGGAGTATATCGGGATTAAGCGAAAATCATACGGTAAACCATTTTTAACAAAAAAGATTATCCTTAAAGGTTTTAAAGATTGAATTTAATTTTATTAATAAAAAAAGGGATTTGTCTTTTATGATGAGTAATGAATAATTAATACGGAGACGATTTACAATGTATGCACGCTGCAATACGATAATGTTTTTTTTTTTGAAGGGCAATTGTACAACATGAATTATATATATATATTCACGATTTGACATGTTTGTTGAACAAAAAAAAAAAATTTTATTATGACATCCAATATTAAAATCCTTAAACCTTCGGATCCACAAGGTTCAAATTTATTATCTCAAGAAAGAGCCAGAACAACGTTCGATGTTAAAAAACTTACTTTGGCGTTGTATGGTTCCAAAGAATTGGAACGTCTTAATAGAATTTTAGAAATAGTGGAAAACGATCCAGTGTTCGATAAGTCTAAAATATATTATATGGGAAGAAATGAATTATTCGAACACGCTTTGAAAAAAGACAAGAGATTAGTACAATTGATCAAGTATATGATGGTGTTTTCCCCCTTTCTATAATTATTTTTGTACTTAATTAAACAAGCACTTAATTTGATTATTTTATTAATATATAGAAAACATAGATGGGATGTTGAAGAAACTCATATCGCTGAATTATTCCTTGATTTGCCAGGGCCCGTAAGTACATATTAAAAATTTTACCTTTATAGTGTAATTTAATTACAATCATAATTCTCATCTTTAATTAACAGTTTGGACTTCACCGAGGGATGTTCATACCAACTATTTTCGGTCAAGGTACTGAAGAACAAAAAAAGAAATTCCTTATTCCAGCTATTAAATATGAAATCATCGGATGTTATGCACAGACCGAATTAGGTCACGGCTCCAATGTTCAAGGGTTAGAAACGACTGCAACCTATATTCCAGAAACAGATGAATTTGAAATACATTCTCCTCATTTGACTGCCTCTAAATGGTGGATTGGAGGTTTAGGAAGAACCGCGTAATGTATAATTATGTAAAGTCACATGTTTCTTTGTTAATTTTTTTTTTAACCTTTTCTTTACCTTTTTTTTTTTAATCCACAGTAATCATGCTGTCATCATGGCACAGTTGAAAAGTAATGGAAAGGATTTTGGTCCTCATCCATTTATCATTCAGATTCGAGATATGGAAACGCATCAACCCTTATCTGGTATCACAATTGGAGACGTTGGTCCCAAATTTGGGTACAATGCCACCGATAATGGGTTTATGCTCTTTGATCACGTACGAATTCCAAGATCCAACATGCTCTCCAAATACTCACAAATAAAGGAGGGTACGGGAGAATATATAAGTCCACCGAATGATAAATTATCTTATGGTACCATGGTTTTTGTACGTGCCATGATTGTCACGGGTGTACGCGTTGCACTTGCGCGTGCTGCCACGATTGCAATTCGTTATTCTGCTGTGCGAAGACAATTTGTTGACAAAGATGAACCAAAGAAATTGGAAAACGGGTAACTTTTTTTTTTTTTTAAAAAAAAAAAAAAAAAAAAAAAAAAATTGAAAATTTAAAATTTAAAATCGATTTTTATGATTTTTAACGCATCTCTTTATTTACTTTCTAGTCGAATAGTTGAAACGTCAATATTGGATTACACTATGCAACAATATAGATTGTTTCCTGTAATCGCCCAAGCTTACGCGTGTTTCTATACATCTAAAGCTATGGTTGACTCATACTTGAATTACATGAAACAAAGTTCTGGTGGTGACTTTTCTTCATTAGCAGATTTACATGCCTCAAGTTCGGGATTAAAATCTTTGGCAACTTCAATGGCAGTGGATTCAATCGAAGATTGTAGAAGAGCATGTGGTGGTCATGGATATTCAAGTTTCAGTGGATTTGTTACCTTTTATCAAAATTATTTGCCAAATACAACTTGGGAGGGTGATAATTATATCTTGACGCATCAAACTGCTCGTTATGTAAGTAAAAGATGATGATGTAACGTCTTCGTGATGTGTTTTTTTTTTAAAAAAATCACTTTATTTATTTATTTATTTATTTTTTAAATAGCTTTTTAAAACCTTTCGAGAAGTAGTATCAAATAAGAATCCCGAAGCATACTCTCAATCCAATACGAATCCAACAATTACTTATATTCTTCAATTTCTAAATAATCCAAATCAAACTTGTACCGCAACTACACCATCGGATTTCAAAAATCACGAACTCCAATTAAGGGCATTTGGACATCGAGCGGCATACCTAATTGCCAATGCAGTTGATCAAATTGATAATCATAAAAAATCATGGAATTCCATGTTAATTGAAGTCAACAGGATTTCACGCGCACACTGTCAATATATCCTGGCAAGAAATTTTATAACGGCACTTCAGAAAAGTCATCAACCGAACGAAGATGAAAGGTTACGCGTATTACATGATAATCCTGATTTAATGGAAGTTATGAACTCTGTATGCAATTTATTTGTATTAAACACTATGGAAAAAGAATTGGGAGAATTCCTTGAATGTGGATATATAACATCATCTCAATCTAAATTAATAAGATCTCAGGTTTATGATTTATTAAAAGAGATAAGACCAAATGCTGTTAGTTTGGTTGACGCGTTCTACATTCCCGATTTTATGTTACAATCCGCACTTGGAAGATATGATGGTAAAGTTTATGAAACGATGTTTGATTGGGCTTCTAAAGAGCCATTGAACGAAATTACCTTGGACGTCAATCCTAATAGCGAAGTTTTATTTAGAAACAATGATTATAAAGGAATGGCTAGACTATAAATTATTTATTAATTTATTTATTTATTTTATTTAGATTTTAATGTATTTTTAAAATTTTGTATTCTTAATTAAAAGTTAGTATATAGAGTTTAATAAATTTATTTCTTTATATATATATAATTAAATATCATTTTCAAATTATACTTAGCTTAAATCGTAATTTGCAATTCAATTAAAAATAAAAATTTATCACTTCGTGAATTGTTTTAGATGAATCGTTGATGAATTCTTTAAAAGAACGAACTCCTCTCACGGATCTTTCCTAAATAGCAAATTTCCTGTCGATTTATAAACGTAGATTGTGAAATGAGAATAAAATCTCGATCGATGAGATCCACGTGTTTCTGTAAAACTACAGAAATCAAACGTATATTGGAAATCACGTGAGATATTTGAATTAGATCAAATTGTGAAATTAACTTATGCACCCCGACAAAAATGAGCAAAAGTCACATGTGTGGTGGCAAACTTGCATGATTTAAAAAAAAATTTCTGAGGAAACAATTTTTTTTTGAAAATATTTCCGTTGCAAATATTTTTAGAAGTCTCATTCTCGAAACTTTAATGAATGATGGCTTTATTAAACACAAGCCGATAAGTGCTGAAAATTTTTTTAAAAGTCATCAAAAGTTGTTAATGACAGGTATCGTAGCTTCTTTGAGTTCCGTCGCAATTGGTAGTGTAGTAACAGCGTTAGGATTTGGTAAAGCTGGTATTTGTGCTGGATCGATTGCAGCATGGATGATGTCGTTACAAGGTGGAGCTGTCGCTGCGGGTAGCCTTGTGGCGATTTTACAATCGGTTGGTGCAGCTGGTTTTAGTATTGGAACAGCTATTGCTACTAGTTCTGGAGGTGGTGTATTAGGTGGATATATTGCTAAAGCAATGCTAAATACATTAGAATCAAATCGAGAAGAATTAAAAGAATTGGAAAAATTTGGTTTCTATTGATGAAACGAAAATGAAAAAAATAAGAAAGTGATTTTTGACATGAAGTAACCACTTCTCGATAGTAATGAGAATGAAAAATTAAAATCTTTTTTTAGAGGGTTTGAAGTTGCTCGGGAAAGTGCCAAAGATAGAGCAAAGAAATTCGAATTTTTGGTTATTAGAGATTTTAAAGGATCTAATTATTTGTATAGATATTTCGATGATAAACACGGAATTGATCACGTTACTTCGGAAAAGAGAAGTATCTCTGAATTTAAATAATCCTTGATTTTTTAAAGAGAGTCATCGGTCATTATCCCCCTATCTACATGTAGATTCAATATCTTTTTTTTAAAGGAGGTTTAGAAATTAATAAAATCTATGATATATTTAATCTTATTTCTAATAATCCATTCGTAATAAAACCATAAGATACTGCTTGGATTGGAATTTTTTCATTTAAAATAATATTAGTGTTTCGATTGATAATGAGGGCATTGTTTCATGAAAGCTACCGACGCCAAAGAATATAACCGTTTACCTATATCAACCAAAATTTTCATACATCTCAACCTTCAAGCTTCTAAATGCGATAACTATAACACAACTAGCTTTTATGGAACACTTTATAAGTACTTCACGACATATCAGATATTTAGAACAAAATATTTTACACATATTTTCTCTTATTAGAACAGGTATTTACATTGAAATCATCCAATACGGCGAGTCTCTTAACAATCTAAGAAACCAGAAATGGTTGTTTCACGTGTGAAGGAAGTAAAAAAAAAATAAAATAAAAAATTATTATCGTTCATTACAATTATTACTTACCTATTAAGGGAACCTTATTTCGTGCTCAGGGTCGAAAATGCGGGCGGTTGTTATAGGTTATATCGGATCACCAAAGATTTCAAAATGAGAATAAAGAATATAAACATAAGCAGAATGGTTTCAATTCAGAAGAAAGATTTTTTGACAAGAGAAAGCTTATATTGACGCCAAAAAAAAAACGAAATATTTACTTATATTACTTTCCATCTGCATTTCAAACAAATTATCCACTTCTTTGACTCAAATTTAATGGTTGCAGCAGCGTTATATTGTCCACAATATTTAATTATTAATATTTATCGTGACACGAATTCATTTATAACATACGTTTTTCATACCATATTTTATTTATGGATCTAAAAGTTTAAAAAATAAACGAACAAGGTAATCAGTTTAGTTTATAGAGAGTGAAACAAAAAATTAAACCGAGGTAAACTGCAACTATCATTTTTTCCCTTTTAACTACTTTTGGTCATGGTTGATCACATTCAAACGTGTAACAATATCCCACTAAATTGAAGCTAATTATAAATAGCCGTAAAATCCAGTTTTCAACAGTACGAACGAAACATAATGGAGATATCTGAGATTCCAGTTGAAAAAATTTTTAAGAGTATCATTCTTGATTCTCTCATGAAGGATGAGTTCATACGCAAGAGACAAAGTACAGAAAACTTTTTTAGTAGAAATGAGTACTTGTTAACAGGTGCGGCGATAGTTGCCGGTGCTGCTTTGGGTCCTTTAGCGGTTACTGGGTTAGTAGCAGCATTAGGATTTGGTGAAGCCGGTATTGCTGCTGGATCTATTGCGGCATGGATGATGTCATTACAAGGTGGAACTGTCGCTGCGGGTAGCCTTGTGGCGACTTTACAATCGGTTGGTGCAGCTGGTTTAGGTATTGGGGGAGTTATTACTGCTGTTACTGGAGGTTCTGTTGCTGCTTTATGGAATTTTGATGGTTTTTATGGTTTTGATGCAATTGCTAAAGCAATACTAATTATATCAGAATCGAATTCCGAAAAATTTGCAAAAATGGAAAATTTTGTTTCCATTAATGAAAGTGATGACTATGAAAATTTAATAGATGATTGCAGCATCATATTTTCATTCGTTTGTTGCGATGATGAAAAAATAATTTGCATAAAAGAGTGATTTTTGACATGAAGCAACCGCTTCTCGATAGTAATGAGAATGAAAAATTAAAGTCCTTTCTTAGAGGTTTTGACTTGGCTCGGGAAGTTGCCAATGACAGAGCAAAGAAATTCGAATTTTTGGTTATTAGAGATGATGAAAGCTGTCGTGAAGGAATCGAAATTTCGCATCAACACTTGATTAAAATCAACGGAAATAATTGTGTTACTTCGGAACCGAGAAGTTTCGTTCTGAATTTGAATAACCTTTGATTTTTCAAAGAACACTGGCAATATCCTCCTTTTTAATGTTTACATGTAGATTCATTGTTATTGATTTTTGTTTATTTTTTTGTTTACTTATTTTAATGGAGGTTTATATTTTCAGATTTCAAAGTACAGTATGTTTGAAATTTAATTATAGCTCTGATGGAGATGATAATTCGATGATAAATTTAACCTTATCATTTTGTAAGGTTCATAATGATTCTATTAATAACACGCCTTGGATACAATTGTTCTTTAAATTTTCTTTTTTGTAAGCGTTTTTCCTAAAATATACTGTCAACCCAAACACATTTCAAAAATATTAGTGACACTGTCGCGGGAGGAATTTTCTCCGATCCAAGCCTTATTGAATAAATTTTACGACAAAAATTTCCGATTGTTTGGTCATTATTAATTTACCATTAATATTTATTCTCGTAACATATCGTATTTAACGTATAGATAAGGAGTGATGCAACAAAAAGAAGAGCAGCAAAAACTTGAAATTGAAAATTCAAAACACAATTAGAGGTGACTACAATTAGAACATGAAAAGATAATGTCCCAAAAATTTTTTTTAAAAAAATTTCGTATGAAATGTTTCGCTGGTTTCTTTTGATTGTTTTTTTCGTCTTAATGCCTATTTTTTTTTTTTTGTTTATTTTTATTCGATTTTTGATAATTTTTTTTGTCTTTAATGTTTTTTATAATAATTTTTTTTTTCGTCTTTAATTTTTTTTTTAATATTAATATTTTTCGTCTTTAATTTTTTTTTTTAATATTAATCTTTTTCGTCTTTAATATATTTTTTATTATTACTCATTTAAAAGTAAATTACTATTAATCTATTATTCCCCGATTTATATTATTTGAAATGCTACGAATGTATATTGATATGTAAAAATAATCTTAATAAAATACTTCGTAACCATAATTTATTAATATGATTTACATTAATAAAAGTTGTGTGAATGCTATTATGAATAACTGCTACGTTAAATAAAATTTGATGTTAAATAAATGCTAAAGAATAAATAAAATACCTTTAATTCGGTTGATTCTTCGCTACATGCATGCTTAAATTATGACTTTTTTTAGTTGTTGCCCTCTTTTTTCGTGCAGGAATAACATGAGGATCCAAACTTTCCTTTTCTTCGCGGATAGTATGAGGTAGTTTTCGCTTTCTACCACCAGAACTTTCTGCCTTTCGCCTTTTAACCGATTCAACTTGAACACGGATCATCGGACCGCTTCTAACACGAGCTGTTGGTTCTAAATCACGATTAAGGTCATAGAGATAGGAGGTAAGCCGGGGAATAGATTTTGATTTCGCTGAACGATATCGCTCTGCAAACTTATTAAGTGCAGTGCGTAACTAGGGACTAGTATTTTGATAGTCTGCTTTAACTTCCTCTAAAATATAGCAAACGAAGTACAATCAATTTTAGTACTTTCTTCATTAGGAACCCTAAAAGAATCAAAAAAAATTATTTGTTAAAATTGTTTTCAAGCAGGATACACAAAATAATATAGAATATTTTTACACTGTACCTCCGTTCAATGCATTCATCAAGAAAATTATTAGGGTAAATATCTTGCAATGTAGATTCTTAAACCTGTGGAGTGGATATTGGTTGCAATGATGCATAGAAAGAACTATTCTCGGAAGTATAACCTAAGGAAAGTAATTAATAAAGGTTACAATTTACAAACATTTCAGTTTAATACAACCTCACTTACCAAGTGCGACATAGGCATATACCATACGATCTTCGGATGTTAATGAAGGTATAAAATTGAGTATTGCGATGTGATATTTCATCGCAACTGCACCCTGATGTTTGCAGGGTGCTCCGGATACTCCAACAGGACAAGTACATGCCCCGATCTCACTGTTCACAGTATAGAACAGGTCATCTTGCCTTGTACTTTGTACTGAAAATTCGTTTCTTATACTTGTTTCTTTAATAGAATTCGCACCAACTCCTTCCCAACCTGTAGGGTTGGATCGGTCCGGTCCGGTCCGATCCAAAAAGACCGGTCTTTCATCTTTCTTTGGACCGGACCGGTCCATAAGTCAGTCCTAGGACCGGTCTTGTACCATTCGGTCCTACCAGTCCGGTCCGGTCCAAGATTTGTTTTTTTCTCGAACCTGACCGATTT